GAATTTAGATTAGATAACTCTAAGGTTCCTTTCATTTCTAAAACAATACTTCCCTTTCTGTTACTGACTATGCATCATTCATTCATATCACTGTTCAATCTTTCTCTCTCTCTCTCTCTCTCTCTCTCTCTCTCTCTCTCTCTCTCTTTCACAAACAGACACATACACACACACACAGTGTGTGTAATTTAAAATAAGCTTATATTTTGTTAGGCATACCATCAGTAAATACAGCCTACATTAAGAGAAATTTTAAAAAAGGAGGGAAGAACAATTATTAGACTTTATCAGAAACAACAAAATTAAATTTTCAAAACCTATTTCTTAGTCTCAAAGTATTTTGCTTCTCAAGCACATTTTCAAAAAACAGCTGGTTGAGTCAATACACAGTGATGAAAACTCTAAAGTATCAACCTAATCTTCCATCCAACAAACATTTGAGCGTCTAATATTATTCTAGCACAATATGAATTATAAAATATGAGTACAACACCAGTAAGGAGAGACAAAGCTAGAGACGCTCTTACAATGTGACATGAAAAGGGCAGGACCAGAGAAACGGGAGAGGAACAAGGAGGGGGGAGCAGGCTGCACATTTCCTTTTTATTTTGAGTGGCAGGATAAAGGTAGAGGGAATTATCAGAGAAGCCTGGACACGTCTCTTCAGTCTTAAAGGATGACTAGAACTTTTATTAAGTAGTGAATTGTTAGTTGGGAGCATCCACAGCAAAGAGTGTATCATATTCAAACACATAACCTTACACGATGTGTAACTCACTTCTTTTTAAATCTATTTCCTCACTTGTGATATGGAAATAATAATATTTATTATCCTAAGGATCGAATACGTTATGTTGTAAGAAAGCATGTGATAATAATGATAACAGCTCTAATTTTTTAAATGCTGTTTATTATTTCCTAATATCGTATTTATTAAATCCATATACAGTAACCTAATAACAGAGCTATTGTGATCTCCATTTTATAGATAAGAAAACTGAGATCATAAAGGAATAAATCTTTCTGAAAGCATGAAATGAAAGAACTGGGGGGGGTGAAACCTTTTTCTATACACTATGTCTCTTGATTCAAAATTATAAAGTTTGACATATGTAAATGTGTTGTGATATATATGTGATATATATGTGTCTGTGATATGTATGGAAGTCTTTTCCTCTTATCCTGAGGATTTTCAAGAGGGTTTATATTTAGCTCACTTTAATGCTTCAAATTTGAAATTCAGGATTTTTGTCCTAAAAATTTAAAGGGTTAACATTTTTGTTCTGGACAATTATCGAATCATATTGTGTATTATAGATAGTATCCTGGTTAAGTAAATCATTACTTTAGCCTAGAATCTCACTGCACCTTTATTTGCCTTGTAACTAGACTTACATAAACGGCATCCGCAGAGGACACTGAGTCTGTTGCATTACTTTGTTTTTAAAGCTTCCAGAATTGCCATACCAAGGTGATGGCTGTCAGGGTGCTCCTGCTCGGGCTCTTTCCTATTATAGCTTTGGGGAGTCTTCCCATTGTCTTCCGAAGGAATATTACAGCAGTTATAGCCACGTTAATTAGATAAATTACACAGGTCCATATTCAGGATGAAGACTTACAGATGAGGAAACCACACCTTAACTTACAGTCTCTTTGAAGAGGGTTTCTAACATGGTATTTGCATCTTTGAGGTGACAACCAGGAAATAGGAGATTCTTGGGCAAAAATGGACAGAAGACATTCAAATTCAATTTTCCAAAGTGACTGTGTGAGAGTTACACACTACTGTTTTGGGTTGTTTTTTTTAACCAAGGCAGTCTGTCTATTTTCTCACTGTTGATGGAAATGTGCTATAGATTCCAACTTAGTCCCTTATTAATACTCTATTCAATTCACGATAGTATAAAAGGAATACAGGAAAGAAAAAGGGTGTAGGTATCCTTCTCCTTGATCACTTTCCTTAATATACATCTAAGCAAATATAGAAAGAAAGGCTTCAGTCAAGTGACATCAATGATTGCTTCATAACAAAAGTAATTTCCCGGGGACTGTGTGGATTCAAAATGGTAAATGTAGGTTAAGTAAAAATTCAACATATTTTAACACAGTTTAAGAAAACAGTCACATCTTTTCTGTGCCTAATTTTGAGTGACACCATAAAGATACCATGTACAGATTCCAAGCCCGGGGTCAGCACCCAGACTGCTCCGGAGCTTGTTTATTTTTAGTAAGCTCCAGAGAACCCTGAGACCCTCTGGCTCCTTACACAATGTTCTAGAATGATCTTGCCATTTACTCTAAGTCCTTGTAAGACATTTGACTTCACTTTGTTTCTTCATTTGTCAAGCTGGGCAGATCATACCTATCTCATACAGTGATTTTAAAGACTAAATGAGATGATATGTGTAAAGCGTCTAACACACAACATGGCTGGCCCCCAGTAGGCGTTTGGTAACTCTCAGTTTCTTTCCCAACTCATGGAGCTGGACCCCTGTGCTAAACCAATTACCCAAGTTGCTCATATGGCAACATGATGCAGAAGGCAGCTAGAGTACCTAGGTCAAAATCGATGCAGAAGAACCCCGCCATCATGTTTTTCGCCTATAATGTGTCATCTCCAGTGTGCTAAGTAACACTCAGGCAGCTCATAAACCCTCAGGGCCAACAGAAAAGATCAGAGGTGAGCCAGTGTCTCACTGAGATCTGTGCTTCTCATATTCTCAGGAAAGAATGTTTGTTCTGCTCAATTCTCTGTATTGTGCAATGGAGTGAGGACAAGTTATCCTGGAGATGTTTAGATCAAGAGCCCCTAACCATTAATTGCTGAACTCAAGATAAAAATTTCTGCTCTTCACTCTGTAACAATCACAAGATTAGAAATGATAATTCAGCTATGAAATTGTGGATTATTTAGAAGTATGTTATCTAGTTAGGGGTATCTCAACCCTTTTACTCATGTTCAGTAAGCTAAAAGTGCTAGTACATTCATTCAGGTGTGAACTTTCTTAGTTTAGCCCTGCTTTTCTATGGGACCTTCGGTCACAGTTTCCCAATATATAAAGTAAGAACATCAATAACAAATATTTATGAAATTTAAAAGTAGCCAAATAATTGTGTGAATTGTGTAGCACTTTAAATCTGTATGTGCTGGAGGCAGATGATAGAACTAAAGAAGTCTTTATTTGTCCACAGTCATAAATACATAGAAATTCCAAAAGAGCAATAATAAAACGTTTGCTGAAATCTAAAATAAACTTCTTCTTTTGAAGGATAGCCATTTGGGAAGAGCATTTCTAGGTAATCTTTTATTTGTGAGAAAATAGGCAATTTCAGAAATAACTGGTGGCCTTGCCTTGTTTTCATGTGCTTTAGATTAAGACTGTTGGACTTGCATACCTGCACAGAGTAGAGAGATGTGATATAGAACGTCAAACAGGAACTTTCCTTGTGGCAGAGACATATCTAAACAAACTGGGAAAACAGAAACTGACCTAGCTCATTTGGAAATGGGCTTGGCAGCTGATGAAATAGGTGAACTATAATTAAGTAATGCAATAAAGGAATTAAGCACTTTCATGACAACAAAAACACACAACACACATTAGGTAGGTAGTAACAAGGTTATTCATAGACTCTTGCTGTCTCAAATTAGAATACTCAATGAGTGTCTCAGGACAGACACATCTATTGTTCAGATGCAACCTTACAGGTGGTGGTGGTGGGGGTTTAGGGGAGGGGGAAGCGCTTAACCAGATCTGACCTCTAGGTTAATTTCTAACTCTAGGAAATCTGTCACTTTTCTAAATTTATTTTTTTTTTCACAGAAACTCCAAAGCAAAGATAGCAAAGCCACATTATTTACTGAGAATTTATTGTAGTAAGTCACTCAGCACAGTCATGGTGGAAACCACATATTCAGTTTACACTTACGTTCATGGACTTAAAAATTCCACTATGCACGCATACGTTTCATGAGGTTTCCCATACCCTTAGATAAGGCATGTCGAAATAATAATTTAACTGTCACATCCTACATAGGTAGGGAATTAGGGGAATTCGCCTCATTGCAACTCCAGAAAGAATGCGAGACTGGCAAGTTTTATTTCCTTATATAAATGTTCATATACAGCTCCAATTCCTCTTGAAGTGTAAGGAATTAGGGAGAAGTGATTTTTTTTTCAAACCAGAAAGGTTACATAGGATTTTTTTTTTCCTGTCCACAATCACTAAATCATCTCAAATGGGAAGACAGACAATAAAGTACACTCAGCGATTACAGGCTATGGGGTGCTGTGAGCACCCCGTGAAACCTCCTGACCAGCCTCCAGCTGCGTGGGTTGCAGGGGAAGCCGGAAGCGGCAGGTGTTAGGATCCCAGGGCGGTGAGGATCGCCCGGACCTGACCATGTCCCTGCCGCTTCAGCTCCAGGTATGCAGGAACAGCATTGTCATTCTGTCATGCCCGAACCTCCAGCAAACCTGACGCCCGCACGCGCCAGCGCCCCCAGAAGCTTATAGAAAACTGAGGGCTAGACAAGAGGGAAAGCATTTCTTTCCAAACGGTGTCCTATTGCGAGCGGGTCTAGTCTCTACTTCCGCCCCCTGCCCACCCCCCTCCCCCAACAAGAAAGAACACAACTTGAAACGTCAACAGTGCATCCCTGTCTTTGGATTTCTAGAACAGCGCATTTACAAAAGGAAAAAAAAAAAAAAGCTTTTGAAGTTTTTATTTTGCCTAATACGGAGCTATTTTAATTGATGCATAACATGTATAACAATAGTTAATTTATCAATGAAAAACATTTTTAACACAGATTACCCTCTTCCGGTCTTCAGCCCATCATTCCACCACCCCCGGCTTGAGGGAAAGACAGAGCTGCTTACAAGAGACATTATTTTACATGAGTACACTTTAGCCCAGTGGAAAACTCCCCAGCTGTCAAATGACAAATGAAACTTGGCCTGCGTTAGTCTCCTCTCCAGCGGCGGGCGGGGGCTTACCCAGGCAGAGCAGCAGCGCGGGGACGGAGAAGGCGCGGCGCGACTCCATCGTCCTGCAGGCGGTGAGCTTCGGGGGATCCTGCGGGCGCTCGGGCTGGGCGGCGGGCAGCAGGCGGCGGCTCCGGGGAACGAGTGCACCTCGGGGCGGGAGCGGTGGGGCTGCGGCTGCAGAGCAGAGAGAGCCTGGCGGGCCACAGTCTGCTTGTCTCTGTGACACCCGGTCTGCCAGGCAAGTGAGCTCAATTGGCCGCGATGCGACCTTTATGAGTCTGGGGAGGAGCCTCAGGCCTGAGGACTTACTAACGGGGTGAGGTACAAAGTGTCCAGAGTTTCATAATCGGCCTCGGGGGAGGAGTGGCCGGAGGACTGCCCCGATGTCATCCTCCCTCAGAACACCTGAGACTGGCGGAGGAATTAAAAAAATGCTCTTCTGGTTAGCCGGGGACTACTCCCCAAAGTTTTCCATCTCCCTCTCTGACTCCTGCGGGTGGAGATGGGGAGCGTGGACCAGATGGATTGGTTTGCTTTGTGGGGTCACCTGCCAGAGTAGTGGGTGGTTTTAGTTGCTCAGAGTGACAGGCATAATTGGAATCAAAGTCAGTCTTCCCTCCAGAGCTGGTGCTCGCAGTATGAGCTTCTGGAGGGCGTGTGCGCCTGTGTGTCTGTGTGTCCGTGTCGGTGTGTATCACTTAGGGACATTATTGAAGTTTGTAGTTCAAGCGCTGTCCTCACATTCATAACTGCCCCCGCCCAGAAGTACGTTTCAAGTCTCCACCTTCCTTCTCAGTGCCTCTGTTTCCTTGGTACTAGTTATTTGTGGCTTCAAAGTCCAGTGATTACGAAGAAAGTCCTAAATTATTTTTTCTTTTGTCTTATTTGCCATCCATTAGCCTGGTGCTTATGATTTAACCTCCCCAAATTTTGCCTTAATCTTGTCACTTCCCTTTACAAAATCTTTCAGTGATTTCCCATGGCTTTTTGGACAAGGTTTGCCAGAAACGTGAACCTGGTCTTTTCAACCTCAGCTCCCACTAGTTCACAAAATTGTCTCACCAGCCAGGCTGGAAAACTCACTATGCTTTTGCTTTTTCCATCTTTTCCTGTCTGTGCTAATGGAGTCACAGTTTTGGGGGGAATGGCTGTCTTTTACTGAAACTCGTGAAATCCCACTCATTTTTATGGTTCTCCTCAAGGGTCTGATTTCTTGAGCCTACAGGAATCTCTTCTCATTCTGATCTCTTACAGCTTGTATTGTTCATCTTCCCCCTAGGCTCATAGGATTCTAGATCTGGTACTTGACACCTGATAAAACTACTTTGCATTATTTAACATTTCTTGTTTGTAAGTTATATGTTCAGATCTGTAGGAATACATAAATTATCTTACTTTTTATTGTATTTCCCTGTAGGGCCTAAGAACAGTGAGTAAACTGGAGTAAATTTAGCAGTACTGAAACATATTTAGGGGGTGACCAGCTAGCTCAGTTGGTTAGAGCATCATGTTGATAACACCAAGGTTGCGATAACACTGCATGGACCACTGTGAGATGCACCCTCCTTAAAAGAGTTAACTATGCCATTGTAGAATGAAAGCAATGTGTAACCAATGACCATGGCTGTTCCACATTTGAATGGAAAATGAAATCTGATGGATGTTGATAACTCCTACCTTTCTACTTTTTATTGTTTTCTTCTTATAATTCCTTGTTATTATTATTATTTTTTGCCTTTCTCCATCACCCTAAATGGTACCCTTTAATGTCCAGAAATCTCATGTGGGAAACAAATACTTACTTCACTCTTTAATCAGTGGTTAATATCATGGGTTCTGAATTTAGATTGTCTGCTTGTGAAACCTTGCACAAGTAATTTAATCTCTCTCAGTTTCCTCCCATGTAAAATAGGGATGATAATAATACTACCTAATTTATAAAAGATAATGAAAGTGCTTACTTTCAAATGCCTAGCACAGAGTTAATGCTCATGAAAAGTATCTATTATTATATGTAAACGCTGAGAGGCTAGCACTTGTTAGGTTGGTGGTATGTGGTAGGTGGTCAGTATTTGTGAGTTAAATGAATTGATGCATAGTAAGAAAGAGGTGGGATTATGGGCTCCTAGATCTAGCTTCTGAATCTAGCAAGAAGTCAAGCAGAAAATGACTTCTCACTTAACTGATCTTTTGTTAAAAACAAACAAAAAAAATGGAACCAAGAAAGATGATTCTGGAAATGGGTCACAGTGATCACAATTTGATAAGTTAGGATTAGGAAAAGGGACTGCTGGCTGTGTAGTGGCTTTTGCTTGACAAAATTGATTTGGAAAAGAAATAGCTCAAGCGTTTGAAAAACTAAGGCCGAATTCAAAAGAGTGGGGTGTCAAGTGACAGTGTTTCCTTATTATGCACAGTGACACGCTCAGGTACTCACAAGGAGTGAGGGGAAGAAGAATTTATTAGTTCTAATTAATGTCTTGTTTCATCAAATATACTGTTGTGCTCTGTGCTTAAAAGAAGGATGGGGTGGGACCTCACTGGGGAGAATGGGGTCACTGCAACCATCCACTCCATGGTATTTATATGTGGAGAGGGATTTGTTACTTTGTAACTGATGCCTGTAAGCATGAGATGTCATCACAGTGAAAAAAATGCTGTGCTTATACTGAAAATTTCCACAGCAAGGTGCTCATCACATGGTGTGAAGAAATCTTTTCTTTATTGGTTCTATGTTTACCCAATTTTCTAGCTATTAGTTTTCGAGAATGACTCCATCATGACGCATCAAGGAAGGCTTGTCACTGCCTCTGCACAAGTCTTCTTTTTTTTTCTTATAATTGAGGACAATTTTCATTAATCGCTCATTTAAATATGTATATATATATATGTATATATTATGAAGTACAATAATAATTCTTCTTAAAGGCACAAACATATTTGAAGATAGAACAGTTTGGGAAGAAAATATTCAAATCATATGGAATTTTCCTACTAAGAAGTGACTTAAACACATCAGCCAGATCAGCAATTTCCAGTTTGAGAGGTCTTGGGATTGTTTTGAAGGGGTTAGTAAATCTAAATAATATCTATAGGCTAAATATAATAGATAAAAAATGCTATTCTTAAAAAATGTATTAAGGGGCCGGTCAAGTGGCTCAGTTGGTTAAGAGCTCGCTCAAGAGTTTGAGCTCTGAGCAACAGCGGTTCCATTCCAGGCCCAAGCTGAGCAGCCGCTGAGCTGCCAACAGGTGGCAGGATGGCTCAGCTTAAAGAAAAGAAGAAAAGAGAAAAGAAAGAAAGAAAGGAAGGAAGAAAGAAAGGAAGGAAGGAAGAAAGAAAAGAGGGAAAGAGGAAGGGAGGGAGGGAGG